TTATTATTATTAACGTTTGTGCGATTGATTTAGAACTGTATTCAATAGATATAGAATACTTACCGTTATTTATCGTAAAAAACATGATACCTAGCTACGCTTTTAAAATGATTAAATATTGCAGCTAGAGCCACAACATTTGTAAATTATGATTTTGAATTTCCGGAAAATAAAAATATAATGAATTTTGTGCATAAACCATACCTGTTTAGAACTTATACATAAATAGTATATAATATTATAAATCGTATTGGTGAAATGAATAGTCGAACACATCGTGTAAATTATCTATATGACTATAGATTCCAGACGGTTTTAATTTATAAATAATCAATTTAAGTATATGCTTAAACCCGATTATACCGTATAACTCAAACAACTGCAATATCATTGCATTTGAAGCACGTGATGTTTGAACAACATTGTTCTCACTAAGAATTTGAAATTACAGTTAGGTATATATTGGTATCCATGTTATATAAATTGCGTTTTAAATTTTGAAGTTAATTAAAGGTTTATTAATACATAACTTTTACAGTTTCAAAAAAAAATAAAAAAACACTGCATAATATAGGTGTCTACAGTTTAATTTGTAAGTTGTCTTTCAAAAGTGATCGACTGCAAAAAATAAAAAAGTCTAAGTTATAACATTTAAAACGAACAGCAGTGATGTACTGTTGTATGTGGATTGCACTGTCAAGTCGCATCCGGTATAAACGGTTTGCGTTTATGTACCTATAATATATTGCAATTTAAATTATAATATAATGTGACTCGGGTCATGCACCATGGGAACAATAATAATTATTAACAAACGGATTATGTTTTATTGTTATTCAAACGAGTGTCAACAATCTTAATGTGCACATAATATAACACTGAACGCGCCATGCCTATTGTAGGATAATAATAAACTGTATAATAATATATTATTACATGATACAGCCATAATATAAATATACTGAGTAGATTAAGCAGTACTCACAGTAGAATATCACATTCTCACAACGAAAACCGTCCTTGAGGAGGGGAGACAGAGCTTCGTAGTTAAATTAGTTTATTGCCAAAATTTGGGGCCACGCGTTCAATAAATGAAAAAAAAAGGAAAATTGGCATAAAAAATTATAGTATTTCATTGCACATAGGTAGGTGGGCACTTAGCATGCGTATGATAAGTAAATAAATGTCGTGGTTAAGTATCATTATAATAAAATATTATCATAATATAGGCAAATATGACAGAAGACAGTACAAACCCGCAAAGGGTACAGCAATACTTTCAGAAAATCCTATTGTTCCGTGCACTATTAATTTAACTCATATTTCATATACAACCTTAAATGTAAATCAAATATAAGAATATTTATTTGCAAGCCAGGTTTTGAAAATTGCACGACACGCTATATGATACCCTCTCAAAATCAAAAATACATAAAGGGTATCAAAAACACGTCTTTCCATCCCTAAGAAAATGTTGTGGCAGTTGGATCGTGATAGTCGATTTATAGTATAATATTTAAGTATGCACTCGACTTCCGACTTGGGTGCCTATATTGTACATGATATCTGTACTGAATATTTTAGGGTTTTTAAGTGCACATTATAAGTGTTTGCTTATTATGTGCTTCTTTAGGATTATGATATTATATGTCCTCTATACTCCTCTAGTCCACTGCCTTAATTGTGCGACACAATATTGTGATGTTCGTATATAATATGACGTACCTACCTATAAAAAAATATCACATTATTATATCTGCWGCAGAGATGAGGATGATGTTATAGAGTTCGTCGAAAATTCGGTCAACTAACCTAAACAGTAAACACCCGGCTTGGTGAAAATACCTTTTATCTTGCCATTATAGAATATGGGCACAATAAAA